TGTGTGTGTGTGTGTGTGTGTGTGTGTGTGTGTGTGTGTGTGTGTGTGTGTTTTGTCTCTAGAATTCCTATAATAATTCTCAAGCTCCATCACCTGGCATGGGAAGGTAGGTAATGTTACTCTTATACTGTGAAATAAAAATTATTCCCCGGTAGTCCTTTTAGTGTTTGTTGAATATATAAATTTATGTCAAAGTTGGCAGTAAGGACAGTTTGTATGTGCCATACTTCCTCATTATTCAGAAAACAACAGTTCCACATATTGACATTTGAAAATTTTACGGATTGAGTCTAAAGAATTGCCATGCTTTTATCCTAAACATTTGGAACAGCCTCAGCTAAATTAGCAGATATATTTTGCCTCCTTTGAGACTGTAACTTTTAGGATATTTGACCTTGAAACTGTTACTCAGAAACCCTAGAGGCAAGTGAGAGGGCATAGGTCTGGTTCTCCTTTACTCCATGAAAACAGCCATACTGAAGCACAGTATTTAGGGAGAGAAGTTTTGGGGAGTGGGCTCCCACCCCAAAATACCAACATCCAAATTGGTACTTAGGGACACTTCAATGATTAATTTGGTTTCAGACCTATTGAATTTGAGGAGGTCACCTAAGTAGAGATGTCAAAAAGCACTTGGAAATGTCAGTGGAGCTTGGGAGAAGTCAGAGCTGCAGATAGAGATTTGGAAATCTACAGTGAAGTGAAAGGTCAGGAGTGACAGGCATCAGGGAGAAAAGAACTGAGAATAGAATGCTGAGGAACACTGATCTAGGAGAGACATTTCAAAAGAACAAATATATTTGTATCCCCAGAATTCTTAGATGCGTTTTCATTCATTCATACCAACATCTCTGGCTACAGTTATCTCTTCTACATTGTGACTTTCCCCATCTTGGTTTCAATGTATCAAGGGTTGTCACAAGAAATTAAATGGAAATTTTGAGGGAGTTTTGCAGAAGCCACAGAAAAAGTAGAGAAATTCAGAAATGCACAAAAAATATATATATCCTATTGTATAATATCAACCCAGATTTTACCATAATTAGGTACTCTGAATAACACCATAAAAGAAAAAGAAAAAACTCAGATTTCTTCTTTGGTACAAAGTGAAGGCCAAAAAATTTTATTCAGATTTTCCAAATTGCAGGGGCACCATCCCCTAATCCCCAGGTGTGGAAGCGATAACTGTAATAATGCTGTGAGTAAAAAGGAATAGAAAGGAGAAGTAGCCTGTAGTAATTTGTCCATTTGATTTCTATGTACTATATGTATATTTCATTATGGATTTTTTTATTCCAATTTTGGTTTTAAAAATATATTCAAAGTTAGGACATTAGTATTTTTAACAATTCAGTTTGGAATTTAAATGCCTATTATCTTGTGCATTCCTTCATTCATTTGGTTTGAGATTTAGTTTCAGATGACTGATATTCTGGTCTCAGATGTATTTTTATGTACATTCTACATGTGTAACCACATATATGTGTAAACACATATATAATATTTTTTTCCTTAATGGATGTCCTACATTAACTTAGTATGTCATCATATACTAATATCCATTGGTAAGATAGCAGTGAATTTTGGAACTTTTTCTGAATTAGTCTTACAAAGGTCAAAGTCACATGTAGCTTACATCTTGTGTCCATAGGAAGCACTAAGGGAACTGAGGGTAGTTGAAAGCTGTACCTGTCAACGTTGAATAATTTTGTTAAATAATTTGTATAACAAACATTAGTAGTTCAGAACACTGTGCTCTTTCATTACCCACTTTAAGAAACAGTTTTACATTACATGTCTACTGTGAAAAACAGAAAACCATTTCATTATTCTATTATTTTATGAAAATAATGAAAGGCGCAGTCAGTAGCTGACAGTTTAAATTTGGTATGTTCTGTGCGTCATATCACAATCAAAGTTGGTGCCTTTTCTTTCTTTGTACACACAGCAAAGCTGTTGGGATGCCTTCCCCAGTTTCTCCAAAGCTCTCTCCTGGCAATTCAGGAAATTATACTTCAGGGGCAAGCAGCACTTCAGGGAGCAGTTCCTCAGTAACTATTTCACAGAAAATCCACCAGATGGCAGCCATCTACGTTCAGGTCACCTCCAACTTCCTTTATGCCACTGAAATCTGGGACCAAGCTGAACAGCTTTCTAAGGAGCAAAAAGGTAGATTTCAGGAAATCATTACATTCAGAGGATAGTAGATGGATTTTCAAAAAACAAGTTAATTTGTGTAAATAATTCATTATAAGTATTTATATTTTTCAAGTATTGGTATTCATTTGGTGTTATCTGTTTTAGGCTTAATGACATTAATTTGGATTTTTCTAGCTTTTAACAAACATACTATTAAGTTAATACTATGGTACAAACCATAAAACTATGGTACAAACATTTGTTCTACCAATAGCCTTTTCTGTTGCTTCATTGTGGCATGGAGTTAAGCTCTGAATATACATGCCTGCAGAGAATAAGATCTGACAGCTCCTACCAAGTTGGAAAGGAAATGTTTTGGTCATAGCCTGACAATATATGTGTGTATATTGGCCTCTTCTCTGAGGACCAGCCTGGCTGAATCAGGAGAAGCTCATTACCGGGTTACCACAAGTTGATAAAATTTTTAGCTGTGGCAGCTTTCAAAGACTTACTAAGTTATAGAGAGTACAATCTGTGTTGCTAACAAAATTACAGATGCTTGGGTGGGGGGGAGGAAGATTTTTTTGTAAGCCAGTCTCAGTAGTGTATCGTGATAAGGGTGATACATTTTAAGCTCTTCTAAAAGAGATATATATTCACTCTTCTAGAATTTAAAATGTATCTTTAAATTCACTTAAAATTTATTTTTTTGTAGTGACACAGGAATATTTCCCAATATCTCTAAGACATCTAATATTCATGAAAATATTTACTAGGTTTGTTGGCAGAAAGCATCTTCCAAAATTGACTTATTTCATTTTAATTTAATTCACTGAGAACCCTCTGTATGCTAAACACCAATCTTTATATTCCAAATAAAAGGGAAAAGAAAATGATGCCAGATTGAATTGGAAAATGGAAGATTTCCTAAGGCAGCATAGTACAAAGGAAAGAATATTAAATTTGTTGTTCTGTAAAGTTCATTAAAATGTAGTTTTACCTGTAAATGCAACTCTGGCAGCAGATTTTGATTTAAAAAACATCCGTAAGTGGAATGGGCTGCTTCTGGAGAGAGTGGATTCTTCTTCTACCAAAGGTCTTCATCTGGAAGTTTTGGTGACCACTTGTCTAGGATGTTGTAGAAAAGGTTTCTGTACAGGTAAGGACTAGATAACCTTGAGGTGTCTTCTGATGCTGAGATTTAGTGAATCTATGCCTGAGGTAGAATGTTCCTTAGAAAAATAGCTATTGTAAATATACATTGCTTAATATTTCTCAGGGGAGGGCAGAAAAAACTTGCTTCCTTTCTTCCTATAAATTACGGATTTATTTTTACTGCATTGTCTGCCAGATGACACAGCAGTCACATAGGAGACTATACATGATTTAATTAATATTTTTGCTCATTTTAGAGTTCTTTGCTGAACTGGATAAAGTTATGGGCCCTCTCATCTTTAATTCAAGCATCATGACAGACCTAGTTCGTTACACCCGGCAGGGACTTCACTGGCTTCGTCTGGATGCCAAGTTAATATCTTGAACTGAAGGATTCTTACCAGAACATATTCTCGTTGCCTCTGATTTTTCTCCACAACACTGTGTCATATCAATAAGGAAGACTGCCATAACACTGCTTAGTCAACACTAAGAGCAAGGAATGCTTCTGCCTCACTGTCTCATGTAAAGATTGTGTTTTTTGGTTTTTGTTGTTGTTGGTTTTTTTTTTTAAACCCAAAGCCATCATGTTAATGGACTCCTAAGGTATTCCCTATTTGGAAAGTTATTTAAGTATTTTTACATCTGCAGCATATTAATAAGATGCAGTTTTAACTAATCTGAAATGGGATTGAAATTCTAGTTGTAACGCATAAGTAATCAATTTAAATCATATTTATTTTAATTTTTAACTGTCCAGTTTGGTGGGACTATTTTAATAATTATTTCTACCTATAAGTTTATCCTACCAAATGCTTAGCAGAAATTTCATGCAGACACTTTTATTTATATACTTTAAACTTTGTTCTCAGTAATGTCTCCTTGTGGTAAAGCTTGTAAAAGAGGATCATTATATTCTCAAATGTAGGGACATGTATTAACATGTCTGCCGCCTCCTACTCAAATCTTAAATGACAACTACAGTTTTAGTATTGCAGAATTTGTACTTAATGTTAAGGAAAAGGACCCAGAAAGGTTCTTGAACATGTGAAAAGAAATTTAAATATTAGAATATAGCATTCTAGATTGGGGGAAAATCATGTTTGATTCAAGATGGGTTATTATTTTAAGAATCATGATCACACTTAATAATACCATAGCAGTCTCACAGTGTTACAGTTACTTAAATTTAGTGAATTATGAAAGAGATCAGCTAAGAACATGGACTCTGGGAGATGTGCATCATACAGAATTTTGGGGTTTTTTATTTTAATGAAAGGACAATCTTGAACCTTTTTAATTTTGTTGAAACTTTGTTCTCTTTGTTTTTGTTGGTTGATACTGCATTGAAACAGTGTCATTTACCATTGGAAAAATGGGTTAGAGGACTCCTTGGAGTCATTACCTCTGTCTCTTCCAGTGACTGAGAAATTAGAAATTTTGTTCAAACATTCACATCCATCTTCAGAATTCTCTTTATTTTTTCTTTGTCGACTCATTTGTGATAATCTGATATGCGTGTACAGTGACTGCTATGGAAATGGGCTGGAGTTTGGGTGTGTCCTATTTTACCTTACAACTTCAGCAAAGTTGTAAAACCATTCTAATCTGGAGACATAGAACTGTTTTAATCATGTATTTACCCCATTGTATTATGAAGGCCCCCAATGAGTGATGATTGTTTCTGTTGGGAGCAGAATATTCACTTTAGAGAAGTATCTTACTGATATAAAAGGAGAGCCCTCCACGGGTTTGAAGTGGCTGCTTTTGTAAAAGTTGTGCACCAAAGTACCTTTCCATACAAGGTACTTGTTGGAATACAAGGTGAGAACTGTACTGTTTGTACTTTGCTTAGTGCCCCTGTCATGTCTGGTGTGCCTTAAATCTTACACTTGGATGAAGACTTGATGGACTGTTTACAGATGAAGCGTCACAGGAGGACCAGGTCTGCTGTGTACGGCTGGTTTTGTGCAGTAGTTAGGTAAAATTTCATTTCCTTATAATGTTTCTTTAGGACTAACCGTGTAAAAATAATTGCTTTTATAAAACCCTTTAGTATAGACTTAATCTAAATCTAGTGAGTCTGGATTGTGTAAGGCTGCTGAAATAAGCAGATTTTCTTCCCAATACCAGAAATGAACATACGCTTTCAGGAAAAAAAAAGATTGCACTCAATTTCTGGATCATCATCATGTGCCAAAAGGATGGCAAGTGCAAAAAAAGGAATTGAATGTTGAGTTGTAAACATTATACGACATCAAGTACTGCAGTTTATCCTCTGGGTTTGGTCTTTTAAACTCATATTTTACAAACTAGCAAGCTTTTATTGTATCATAGTTGCATATTTGTAGGGCTTCCTTGATTGTTTTGTACTTCCAAAAAAAAGACGGTTTTCTGCTATCAGAGAAGGGAAAGTTAGCAGACCAATGTTGAATTGAAAACTTTCCTCTAGTGTAGATTTCTGTCAGTTTAGCACCCTTCTGAATTTAATCTGTGTGAGAGTGTGTGAGAGAGAGAGGAACTGTTAGGGGCTGTATTCAAAGGATAATCTTGTAGAATCTTTATAAGGATTTTTTAGTGAGAAGTTTTTCAACTAGTATCAAAGCAGATTCATTCTTTCCCTTTTAGCTCCACAGTGTCTTAGGGAGACCTTAAGGCCCAGTGTATTTTATATACCCTTGTATGGCCTGATAGTCAGCAGAAGCTGTGTCTGTGTGTGTGTGTGTGTGTGTGTGTGTGTGTGTTGGGCGAATGAAAATTCTCATGTATGCTGAATGGTGCTGCACTAAAATATTCTCCTTCAAATTGTGTTCATACTGGGATGGTGAATTCTTTTCAGTTGAAGAACATTTCCTTCTGGTTAGTAATGGGCAATAGAAAGTTTGGGTCTGAGTAATTGGATTTCAAATGCCATGGTTTTTGGTAGAAACCCCAGTAGCAGTGTGTAGAATGTGGCCTCCCTGACTCTGTCTGCAGTCATCTGGATATTTGGCTCTGTTGTAGGTGACCATTCCACCTCAAGTTTCTTGTGACTTTTTTGTTTAACTTTTAAAATTGAATATAACTAATGACAAAAGGCTGATCTAACCTTTGATGTATATATCATCTTGGAAATACAGTTCTTTAATAGGATCACATAGTTCATTAAAGACTAATTTTGTCTGCCTTCTGTCATACGTACATGATTTAGCTAACATTTTACCCTTTGTGTACAACCAAAGTATGGAACATTGTCATGTCCAACGATTCTTTTTTCATCCTGGGAGCCTAAACGTAGCCTGGCTGAGCTAGGTCATAGGGACCCCAACCTCATAAGATAGAACCTTTCTTCACAGCCACTGCCTTCAACTGTTGAGATCTTTTTTTCTTCCATCTCTTTCAGTCCTGCTTCAAGAAGCAGACCTGTGGCTTCCACCTAGTGAGGTGGCTTATCCGTGATTGTTGTTGACAGCACCAGTACTCCCTCCTTTAAAGCAAACCTTGAAGAAGGTGACCTTTTCAGGAGTTCTGTGCTGTGACACTAGATGAGATTTGTACATATGTCTGCCAAAGAAGGTGTTTGAAAAACTCTGGCCTAAGCCAACAATGCAAACCAGTTTCAAATAATGTACATTTGGGGAAAAGGCCACTCCCTATTATACCAAGAGGGTTCCTATTATTGTGGATCGATATATTTATATATCAGTGTTGCACTTTGAACCACTTGTAGTTTGACTAAATCCTTTTCCCCACATCCATTTCTCCTTTTAATTAAAGAAACATAATAATTGGACCAGGCTGGCTCAGATAGCATAATTTTATATTGGCTGATAGAAAGTTTATAATATTATGGAATTTATTTGATTCATAACAGCTGGGTTTCTCCTTGTGAAGCAAGATTATGGAAAACAAACTCTTTAAAGCTCAAGGCTTTGGCATTCATATCTAGTAGATCACAAAAATAATAATAATCCATGTGAATCCAGTGTAGCCCCAGTTGTTTTGGTTGAAGATGATTTAGCCATAAAAGGAGTACATTCTGCACTCTTCTTGGTGTGATAGTGAGCAGTTTGAATCTTTAGAATTATGTACACATACTCACTTTATATATGATGTATTTTTTAAAAACCATGAAATCAGTTTGTCTAAAGTATATATGTGTAGTATTTTAGCTTAGTGTACCCATTTCCACATTATTTATTAAATTGATCTAAGTCACTTTCTCAGTGACACTTCTGTCACTTATTCAGTGACATTTGTTGCATAGTAATATACAAGAGTGCAATGTGTATTCCTTTAGATTAAGAGTTTATTTGCAGTAAGCTCATTCTAAAATGTATCTGTGCCCTTTATTAATATGTCAGGGCTTCGTAGGGTTGGGGGGGGGGAATCGGGTGGAGAGGAGTCTTAATTTTCCAATCGATATTTGGATAAAAATGGCCTCATTGTGTGTTTTATTTATATAATATTTTGCTTTGTCACAGGTGCACTTAGTGGGATTTTTGTATGAAGTAGGTTATGTTAAGCCTGAGCAAGTCCAAGTTTTAAATGAACACACCCCACTGGGGAGTAACCATTGTACAACCTTATAGAGTCTATGACTAGAATTCCTCAATTCTTTGAAACACAGATTTCATTATCTTTAGCTTTAGTATAAAGTATGGTGGAGAAGTGGGTTTTTCCCCCTAGTAATAGGTAATATAGATCCAGACTAATTCTGCATTAAAGTAAATGATACATGAATTAATAACTCCCTTCCAGATGACTTGAGAGTAAATTGTGACCAACAGTTTACATTAATCTGCCAGGGTTTTGGTGATTTCTAAAGTGCTTGTCTCTTATACTCAGCTAATGGAGAACCTGTTTGGCTCTCTAGAGACCAGAACTAAACAGTTAGTTGCAAGAGCAGAAGTCACCTGTCAGAAGATCATTGTTAAGGCTGATTTTAAAGGTAAAGTATTTCTTACTAAGCTCCATTAGATCTCTAGACCAACAGTTCAGTTGAAGAAACTTGATGCTTTCACCACAAGTGGTCAAGCTGGGAGTTCAGGCTAGATGCAAACATAGACTTTGCCCTGTGAAAACCTTAAAGTTGCAGACTGGTTCTCATGCTTTTAAATAACCTTTGGAGGATAAGCCCATTAATCTTCTCTGTGCCATTATTCAGCATGTCTTAAAATGAGCAAGAAAAGGCTGCCCAGAAGTGTGGTTTAATTATAACTGTTCACCTTTGAAATTCTCTGCCTGTTTTATTTCATCAGGAAAAAAGTGACCGGAAATGCTGCCTTTCAAGTCTATGCCATGAGGGCCCATATTTATTCCACTAGCTGGTGATGTAGACTTTCAAAAAATGTCCCTGTTTTTGTGACTTTATGCATAACCCTAGCAAATTATTCAGTTGAGCATTCATCAGTATTGTGGCACTCACTAATTGAGTTGACTTCATTGATATGAATGCCTAAAAGTTCACCTTCTAAGACCAGACATGGTGTTAGCAAGCATAGCTCCTACGATTTGTATCTGGTCTCCCTTTTGAATGATTTGTATATGGAGGATGAAGTGCTTATATATTTATTGAAAATCCTTTATCTTATTTGAAATTATAATTATTTGGTGAATAAGGGTTTAAGGGTTTTTTTTTGTTGTTTTGTTTTTATTTGTTTTGTTTAGGGGAGGGATGTTGATGAAGGGAAGCTGGGAAGGGTAGCTAACTTGTAAGTCCTGGTTGATCCTAAAGAAAAGATATTGTTAGTGATTGACAGGATGTCTTTATTTGTACATGACTCAAGTCCCTGTTTTACATTTGTTTTACCCAAATTATTTAGGCATCTGGTATTTTCAACCAAAACTTAAAATACGTACTGTGAGTTGTATTTGTTGCAATACACTTAAATTTCAAGGGATAGTTTGGGGCTCAGAAGTTAGGATTTTAAAGTCAATATGTGCATTTCATGTAATAAAGCTGTTAATGGTGAGCAAAGTATTATATACTAACTAGATTTTTCCACATCTGTATAGTATATTCTATGTATTTTGTGGTATTGAGATTATAGAAAGTTTAGAGTGTCTGAAACATGCATTTAATGTGTATTTTTAAACAAATTTATGGCAATTAAAATATTTGGAGAAAAGGGTATCACATTTCAATTTGTAAAGATCTTTTTAACTACTGTGTCATTAAATGCTTTGTATAATGCAAAACCATAACTGGAAAAACTTAAGTTTAATAAATATCAAATAGATTTTTCTGTATTAAACTTTATAAATGCTGTGATGTTTACACTTCTACTTTTTTCCTCCTAATTTGGATTCTCATTTTGTATTTTTGCACTGGGTTCAACGATCCAAGTCCTTTGAAAACACGTTTTGGTGCGTGTATTTTTACCTTATCACAGACCTTATGTCTGCTTCTTGATTGGTCAGTAGGATTATTGTATAATACATTTGCATAGAAATCAAATTGTTGAAATGATGTTTTACAGAAGTCTTAGCTTTCTTTCTGAGCTTTGTTCTTAGAGTAAGAATTGTTTCAATGATAAATTTGCAAGATTTTTGAGTTTCCTCTTGAGTGTAATTCAAAGCATGGATGTATTTCTTGGAAGGGTGGTGGGTTTTGAAATTATAGGCTTTTGCCTTAAATTTTAACATTCTACCATATTGTTTCTATTCTTTAGCATGTTATTGACCCCTTTGCCCAACTTTCCAGACTGAAATTTTTTCTAGCCTGTTACAAATAGCCAGTTCATAAAATAATAGATTATTTTTCTATATTCTATACTCCAAAAGCTTGAATTCTAGATTTGTTTCATTATTAAGAAAAGATTTCTTTTAAATTTTAATTTTTCAGATTTTAACAATAATACATGCATATAAAAATACAGACTCTTAAGTTCAGCAGTTTAAACGTCTTTATCCACGTCTGTGCTCTAAGAATGGGGGGTGGTGTCTAAGTTAAAGTATGCATCTGCTTTTAAATATTAAATAGCAAAACAGCTTCAGAGATAATTCCAGTAGTTATGCAGCTAATAATCAATATTCCATAGAACGGAGCATTGTTGGAAGCAGCTGCTTTCTTCTCTTTTCTTCAGTAAATATATTATTCCTGGGTCCCATTGAGGGAACAGTGTTTTTTCCTAGGTGAATAGAAAGATGTTATGAGGCAGAGGCAGGGCTCTGATTATTTGTACATAGATACATACATACACACAGAGAGACACATGTATGTATGTAAATAAAACCTCTTTATTGTCTTGCCTGGTTTTGGAATCTCATAAGGTAGAGAAAGTGGAATTTGTCTTTCTGAAAGATCCTGATCACCTGATTTGCTGCTAAGCCAACAGCCCCTGGGCTCTTCTTAAGATCTATCACCATCCCAGACTACAGTCCCCGTTCTGTACCGATCATGAAGAACCAAGGATACGTATATGCTCCCTTTCTCCTTATCACCGTACAATCTAGGCTAGTCTCTTCAGATTATCCCTGTGACTTAAGAAACCTTGATCTCCTGAGCCTGACAGGCATTCTTTTCCTTCTGTGCCACCTCTGGCAGCCAGGTGGTGCAGTGGCTAGAATGTGGCACTTATAATCAGGAAGACCGAATTTTAAAATCGGCCTCAGACACCAGCTGCATGACCTGAGCAAGTCTATTAACTTGTTTTCCTGTTTTCTCATCTGCAAAATGGGGGTAATGCTACTATCTGCTAATCATTGTTGTGTAAGGATCAAATAAGATAGTACAGTGCTTAGCACAGTGCCTGCCACATACTAGGTACTATACAAATGTTAGCAATTATTATTAGCTATTTTTATCTCTTCCCTATTCATTCCCTTTTCTCTAACCCCTCCCTCCCCCCAAAAAAACACATACAGATAAACACATATCCTTGGAATTGTAGGTACCTGCATAGTCTTGTGATACATTCAGAGTCATCACGACAAGATGCCCCAATGGGCCTGAGAGAGACACCTCGCCAGAAGGGGGTCATCCTTCTTACTCTTCTCTGGACTGAGCTCTGCTGGGGCAAGGGAGATGGCCCCACCTAAGGAATAGAATGGAAGGTGACAGTCGTTACAGATACCCTTTGAGTAATTCCTCCAGTTTTCCTCATAATAGCCCTGTGAGATTAGAACAAGAATAATTAGCCCAGTCTCAGGGGCAGCTAGATGGTGCAGTGGATAGAGTGTCAAGTCTGGAGTCAAGAAAACATCTTCCTGAGTTCAAATCTGGCCTTAGACACTAGCTTTGTGACCCTGGGCAAGTCACTTAACTCTGTTTGCCTCCATTTCCTCATCTGTAAAATCAGCTGGAGAAGGAAATGACAAAACTTCGATGTCTTTGCCAAGAAAACCCCAGACAAGGTCGTGAAGTCTGAAACAACTGAACAACAACAAAAAACCCAGTCTTAGGGAGAAAAGGTCCTCTAAGAGGGAAGAGAATGAAGGTGGAGCAGACAAATGATCTCACAAATGAAATGGGTCCATCTTCCCTCAGGAATCTTTCAATCTGCCCACAAAGACTGAGCAATGTACCATAAGTATATTTGCCTAGAGTGGTGGGTAAAGGCTTACCCATTATCCTTACCTGTTTCAGGAGCAGTAGGCACACCATGAGCAGGGCTAACAGCTTAAGGTGAACCATGGCAGTGTGTAGGAAGCTAGAGATGGGACTGCCAACTCAGACCTCTTGCCTTTTATAGGTTGAAATCAGACCAATGATTAATGGCTGCGTGTTAGGGGGCAAAGGTTGGAGCAGAGATCGGGGAAACTTTAATAAGTTAATGTCTACTAGAGCAATCTGCTCAAGGTCTGCCCCTTAGGCTGATTCTGTTTGATGATTCCTCACCTGACCTTTGAAATGGTTGTTAACTGGCCTAGTTTGCATTTTACCCACTTTTAAGAAAAATCACATTGTGGCTCCCACCTTTTTTTTTTTCCTCTGAGGTTCAAGTCAAGTCATAGACATAAGGAACCTGATCATACTCCATTGATGTCATTAATCAAAAAAAAAAATGTTCCAGTAATTAGCTCTTTTAAAAATAGCATTAATAGTCACATCCATGCCTAAGGGAGGACAATATGGGTGTGTGTGGCGGGGGGGGGGGTAAGGTGGGGGTCATGTGAGCTACCATTTGTAATAAGTGCATTTTCTAGAGTCTCAAACCCTGTATGATTAGCTGCCATTTTTTAAAAAACAAAATAGGTTTTATTGATTTTTTTTTTTATCAATACTGTCAATTCCCAATGACTTCCTCACACATCCCCAATAGGACCCTCCCTCAAAACAAAGTAGATACATAGATGCTCAAATCAACACACTGGTCGAATCTAATAATCTATCCTTCATCATCTCTATGCCTTCAGTACACCACTTCTTATTTCATTTGGTGTTCTTTTTATGAGTAGTTTTGTGAATTGTTGTAGTGCTCATTTCTTACTTCATCAGTTCATACACAGTAAAACTATAAACAATAGATCATATTAAAAAGTAATTGTAACAATCTATGCAGAAAAGTCTTGACAAACCATAACATTCATCTTTGTTTCAAATATAAATAGATCTTTCCTTAATATGACCAATGGTATCTATAAAAACAAGAGCTAGTATCTGTAAATGGAGAAGTGTTAAAAATCTTTTCAATAAGAGTGGGGTAAACAAGGGTGTTCATTATTGATGCTATTATTGATACAGTGCTAGATATGTTAGCTAAACAGCAACAAGACAAAAATTAATGAAATAAAACAAGCAAAGGGAAAACAAACCTAGAGGTTCAACTAAAATTAATTGAAACAATAACAGCAAAGTAGCAAGATATAAAACAAACTCACCAACTTATTAACCTTTCTTGAATATTACTGAGTAGTAATTTAGAGTAACTAGAATGCTATTTGGGGGTCTACCAAGCCACACAGGAATTAAAGACAACCACAAATACATTACAGAAAGTACCTGAATAATTGGAAAGATAAATTGTGCATGGTTGAATCATATTAATGTAATTATACTGCCAATAAAATTTATTTATTTGGGGTCATACCAATCGAGTCACCAAAGGGTTACTTTATAGAACTAGAAAAAATTACAATAAAATTCATCTACAAGAACAAAAGTTTGAGTCTCAAACTTTTCTTGAAAAGAAAAAGTGGGAAAGGGACCTGACGGTACCAGATATTACCTTGTTCTACAATAATAATCAAAATTATTTTGTACTGGTTAAAAAATAGAAAAGATGATCAATGACTATATGAGAAACAAAGACCCAGAAAAAAACAAAATGGTATAATGTTCGATAAACCTATAGACTCCAACTATTAGGGTAAGGATTCACTAATAACTGCTAGGAAAACCGGATTGCTCTATGGGTAGGAATTAGGTCTATCTAAGAGCAAGGGTTCTTAACCTTTTTTGTGGCGTAGATCCCTTTTGCAGTCTGGTGAAACACCTCTTCAGAATGATGTTTTTAAATTAATAAAATGAAATATATAGGAGTCTAACTGATCAAACTAGTCAAAATAATTACTTAAAAAAAGTTAATGGACCTCAGGTTAAGAACCCCTGCCTAGAGTCTACACTAGAGACTATGAACATTTCACACTATATACCTTTACTAAGCTACAAATGGGTATGTGGCCCAGGTTTAAAAGGTCACATTGTAAGAAGAGGAAGAAAGGAAGTATCTTTCATAATTATGAGTAGGGGAAGACCTTCACCAAACAAATGGACAAAGATGATCACAGGAGAGATGAAAAATTATGATTAAATAAAATTAAAGAAGTTTTGCACACAAAAAAGCAATGCAGAGCAAATTAGAGGGGAATCTTACCAACTAAATTAGAAACAGCTGTAGCAAGTTTCACTGGTAAAGATATGATATCCAAGATATAAAAGGGACTTTAAGATATGAAGAACAAGAGTCACTATAGATAAGTGGTCAAAAGATATAGCCAGTTCTTAAAGAAGAAAAGCAATCTGTGTGTGTGTGTGAGAGAGAGATAGAAAGATGAGTGGGAGGTGGGGAGAGAATGTGCTCTAATTCACTGATTAGAGAAATGAAAATTCAGATAGCTCTGAGATTCAATATTACATTAGAATGGCAGATGACAAAAAAAAAGGAAAATGTTGAGGCTGTGGACAGACAAGTACAAAATGTAGAGCTCTGAATTGGTCTGGCAAGTCTGAAAAGCAATTTGGAACTTTCCCCTCAAAGTCACTAAACTGTGTGTGTGTGTGTGTGTGTATGTGTGTATATATACATGTGTATATACATATATATGTGTGTATATGAATTTTTGTGTTTTTGGTGAGGCAGTTGGGGTTAAGTGACTTGCCCAGGGTCACACAGCTAGTGAGTGTTATGTGTCTGAAGCCAGATTTGAACTCAGGTCCTCCTGACTCCCAGGGCTAGTGCTCTATACTCTGCACCACCTAGCCCATGGATTTGTTTTGCTTGACTTTTTTTTCTTAATTGCTACAAAGGAGGGGAGGTGGGTGGGTTTTTTCACCAGGTGGGAAAAGAGTGGGTTTGGTGATAAAGATGCCAAAAACAAAAGTAGAAAAGAAAAAAGAAAGTGTCATTGCAGTATTTGAGGAAAAATAATCATGTGGCCAACGATATGGAGAACTAGACATTTTCTTCATTCTTCACAACCTTACAGACATTTCTAGAATAGGAATTGTGCACCATGGACATAGCAGTTTCAGCTGTCTCCAGTTATCTCCACAATCTAAAATACCAAGAACCCAGACAAGGTAAAAAATTTGATGAACAACAGAGAAAGCTGATAATCCATAAACTATAACCAAGTGTTCACCAACACCCCTTCTGCAACAGCCCACTATGCACATAGCAGCAGGGGTACATAGGTTGCTCTTGGCAACAGAACTCAACTCCATCCCAAATCTCCTGTCCCCCCATCTCCCACCTCATCCCCAAGTCCTGTGGAGATCCAAATAGAAGAAATTGGCTTAGGCTTTGATAGCATGGCAGTGATCTGTGCTGCTGGGCCAGAGAACTGAGGAACAAGGGAACAGGGAAAGGACACATGGTGGGCTGTGTGGCAACCCATTAGCCTGGGGGAAAGTACCTGGCATCCATCTGGGGCTAGTTTTGTCCCCCACCAGAAGTCATTGATGGCAGTGACCAAGGCTGGTGAATCATGAATTACCTAGCATAAAAGCTGAGACGCTGAGATCCAGCCCTCAAGGAGACCAGCCTCAAAGTGGAAGGAGTCAGAAAGTAAGCAATAAAGAAAAATAAGGAAAAAAGACTGCAATTACCAAAGATGTTAGGAGAAAGAAAAAAGAGAAGCAAATAAAAGTTGATTAGCTCCACCTTCTCTAGATTTTCAGTTACCATTGCATCCAACCTGAGCAGCAGTCCTGCTTTCTTCACTTTCACACATGTGCTTCTGCATACCAAAGGAGGAAGTCACACATCTTTGCAGAGTCCACTGTAAATTTGTATTATATAATCTTAACTGAGTCCTCACTGTTGTGTGCTTATCTTTTTGTGTTTCCTTAATTGGCTCTTTCCCATACCCCTCGCTACCTATTCCAAACCTTTTCTAAAGACACGTACACTATTCCTTAACCACTCTTGGCAGAGAACGTCATGAAATAACTTCACTAAAAAAATTGAGGCCATATATCATAAATTTCCTTTCCTCATAAACCCTACTTCAAGTCACCCCAACATTAGTTCCTAGTCTCTTCTCCTTTGTTCTAGTCTTGGAAGAAGAGGTAGCTCTTCTGTTTCTCTGCTTGTGTCCTTGATCTCATTTTCTCCTCTCTCTTTCAAGATCTTACTCTTTCAATCGTTCTCTGTTTCTCTTTTTCTCTGTCACTCTCCCACCTTCTCCTTTATCCCCCAAAGCAATTATCCTTTCGTTCTCCACTCTTTCCCAGTTAAACTAGAAAAAGCTATCTCTGTTGGTTCCCTCTACTTCCTCACTTCACCCTTCTCATTCTCTTGCCATATCACTCAACTAAAACTGCTCTTTTCCCGCAATTACCAATGATATCTTTGTAATCAGATTCCAGATATTTCCCCAAGGATACAAGAAAGGGCTTCTGATACCTAACTGGGAACCCCAGAAGTTGTAATTGACAGTATTCCCTCCTGCCCCTGAGAAACTGGTACTATCATAAATATTTGGGATTTTTTTTCTAAGTGGGGCAAGGTAGACTTCAGTCATGTTAGGAGTATTAAAATAGTTTATGAAGGAGCTGAAAAAGGGGGAACTGAATAAGAATGAAGAATGCCTTATATTTTTGTAGTTATTTTAAATGGAATTTCTGCTGGATTTTTTTTTTTGGTGATAGACAGAATGCTAATGATTTGTGTGTTTGTATGGATTTTTTTTAGTTCCTAAATTTAGCTGGTTATTATTTCAATTAATTTTTAATTGATTTTCTAGGGTCAATTTCTTGGTTAGCAAACTATAGCCAGAGCGCCAAATTTAGCCTGGTATGCTAAGAATAGTTTTTGCATTTTAAAATACAATAAAACTTTAAAATTTTTTAAAAGTACTAGGTTGTATGTAATCCAAAAAGTAATGAAGCAGCTAGGTAACTCAGTGGATAGAGCTTGAGGCCTGAAGTCAGGAGGACTTGAGTTAAATTTGACCTCAGGCACTAATTGTGTGACCCTGGGCAAGTACCTAAATTCTGTTTGCCTT